AGATCAACGGACGGCGACAGCGATGAGGAAGAAGCGGCGGCAACCTTCGGCTTGACGACAACGGCGGTGCTCCGGCGGTCTACAGCAGCGATGGAGGGGCGGACGAGGACGGCGACGCGACGGCGACCACGACGGTGACTTTCCCGAGCGACGACGACGACAGGATCGGCGGCGGCGCACGGCTGGACGAACGGCGACGACGGCGGCGCTAGGCTACACGGGGCTAGGGCGCTACGGGCGGCGAGAGGCGAAGTCGAGGGTGGCGGCGGTAGCGGCGGGCTTGGGGGTCCTTTTATAGGGGCAAGGAGGCGGCAGCGAAGGCCCACGGCGACCGGCGACGCGAAGGAAAGTTTAGGGTTCGGAGGAGAGAGATCGATCCGAATCGAACTCGAATCCACGGATTTCCAAACGATTTAGCCGACGATTCCAAAAGAGAAAAGGTAGAGGAGATCTCGGGAAACATTTCCCCTCAATTGATTTCACCGGAGAAGGAAAGGCGCGAGCGAATTTGGAAGGAGACGGCGGCGCGGCTCGGCTAGGGTTCTGGCCGGGCGACGGCGCGAGGAGGAAGACGAGTCCGACAGGTGGGACCCACCTGTCAGCGGCCGAGGGCGCTCGCGCGGGCGGCTGCGGGCTGACTGGGCCGACTGGGCCGAGGGAGAGAGAGAGAGAAGGTTTTGGGCCGACTTTCGGCCCAAAGCCAAAAGAGGATTTTAAAAACCTTTTTCAATTTAAATAATTCATGAAATGCAATTCCATTTATTAAAAATACTTCCTTAGCTCAAATAAATCCCAGAAAAATCTAGGAATTATAGAATTAAGCAAAGTATTTAATGAAATTTTATCTGGCCCCATTTTATATTGGAATTTATTATTTAAAATTAGATCTTCTTTTCTAGACTTTTAAAATAAATTCTAATAATTCCAATTAAACAACAATTTATATATTTAGGATTTTTAGGGTGTGACATATCTATAGAAACTACCCATGATTGTGATTATGATACGTTGAGTGCACTGTTCCAATGTGTATGTTTTTCTGTGAGGGGACGATTGTACTGTTCCACATCATAGAATGAGCGTCTAAATATGTCCAATGCTATCCAATGCAACAGTGAGTGCCTCGTGGGAAGGGTTGCTTCGCCACGGCGTCAGAATCGGTAGGCTAACCATTCTGATGACACTTAAGCTCTAGACTTGGTGCGGATTCTCCACCATTGTGCTCATGCAAGGAATAAACAATAGATAATGTAAAGGCTTAATCATAATCGCTAGACCACACTCAATGTGTAGAGTGTGGTGGTATCGACAGGTGGCAGACAAACTAGAGGGATTTATGTCATGTGGGTCAAACTGTACAAATTCTGCAGAGTCTAAAACTAATAAATTAGTCGTGCAATTGATCATGAGCGGCATAGTGAATTGTCATGGGTTTAGGTTTATGTTTTATAAATGCTTTTAGAATTCGAATCTTTTGAAATGATGATGAGAATGATATACATGGTATTATGTTCTTGCTACCGGTTCGGTAGTAGGAAATGATTCTTATTTATTTATGTTGACACCATGCCATGTTCTTTATGCTATACATATTGCAAAATGTTTTCTTTAAATACATTGAAAATGTTTGTGAAGGCATCATGGTAGAGCCTCAATGTATTAAGAATTGATTGTGGTCTTGCTAGTACATTAATTTGTTTAATGTACTAACTCTTGCTTTATTTATATGTTGTTTAGATTTTGCTGCAGATAGCTAAGTATTGTGGGTTTCGTTGATTCTTTAGGATGATTCTAAATAGGGGTCTACCCCTAGTCGGTATGCCTGTGGGTTGGTTAGTTAAGCTTTCATGAACCACTAATTATTTGGCCGGTCGGCCTATATATAAAGTAGTTGTAATCTGAATTTTAATTCTTGTATATGCCTTATTTCTCGTTTACCATTGTTTTAGATGAAGGTGTGAGACTAGTCCTTATCCTGAGGACTAGCCTAACACAAGTACAAATTTTGAGCAATTGAGATGTTGCAGAGTTTTAGCAATTTGAGTCCAGGCTTCTGGGATGTGTAACACATTTGGTAACTGTCTTCGTGTGGTTTGACGGACACGTCTCATGCTGAAGTTGATTAGCATGCTAAGTCCGAACAATATCTTATTTGCTCATTATTAGCTATTGTGAATTTTATATTGAATGGTGTCAATTTGGGATCATATAGACATATATGGACACATTGAGATATGAGTGCTTATTTCTGCATGTATCGATCTCACTCACCCAAAATAATTTTTGGGTGCTCAACAATTCCCATCCAATCCACCAATCCCATGAAATCACAATTTGCACCTATTCATAAATTTCAAACTGAACCATTCCAATTTCCACATCACAAACAAGTCAAAACTTAGGGGTGCTCACCAGCCGAAGAGCCGCAGCCCACCTCGTCACGGCCCTCGTTGCCGAGAGGCAGCTCCAGACCGGCTCATGGCAGCCCTCATAGAGGCTGTTGTTGCAGCTGGGTATGTTTCCATATTTTATTTTGCTTTGACAGTTGACATGTGAATTATTTTCATAAAATCTTGTCTTATATTTGTGTTGATTATTACTAGTGAGATTGAGTGAGACGTTGTTCAAAGGACATATTTATACTCTACTATTTATCGGTGCAATAATTGCAAATACTATACTTCCATCATTTTAAATTATTTATCGTTATAGCTTTTTATCCTAAGTCAAATACTTCAACAACATTTTTTAAGATATTGGTGTAGTTTAACAAGATATTGATATATCATTATGAAAATAATTCTCATGGTGAATATAAAAACATAAATATCATGATGTTAACAATATGTTTTTTTGAATTTGATGGCCTTGACTTAGATAAAGTCAAAATGAGAAACGGTAATTTGTGACTGCAAAGGGAGTACGTCATTTAAAAAACGATATTATTATTGTTGGGGTTGGGTATGCAAAAGTTGGATCGTTACTTCCTAAATAGCGCCTATATAAGAAAGATATTCTTATTAATTTGCTGATAATGTATAATAATGCAACTAAGGAATTCATTATCCACCATGCCTATTCCAGTCAAACTTATCTTATGACATGCCTTCAGGATCTTTAGCTATTATTTAGTTTTGATCTTACTCATACTTTAAAGAACTTTATAAAATCAGAACAAATAATACACTCCAAAGGTGAACTAGAAAATGTTTTTTAGCAGACGTGTGTTTCACGAGCTAGTAGTCTTCTTAAACCACGAATAACGAAATATCCATAATTTGATTAATGTGTTATCTTGGGCGCATCATAGGTGGCCCCATGCCTCGTCTCTCGTCGGCTTTTTTTTATTATTTAGACTTTTTTATGTTTTAATTTTATTAATAGATCTTTTAAAAAAATATTTTTGAAAACTGTACCTCGTGGTCTGCGTTGTCCTGCCACGTTAGCCGTGGTGACGTGATAGAGTTATTTGGCCACGTCAAGCGGGCTGGCGTGGCCAAAAGGTATAGATTAATTTAAAAATATTTTTGGGAATGGTCTATTAATAAAATTAAAACATAAAAAGTCTAGAAAATAAAAAAAAATTCTCAGGGGATAGTGTCTGGCTGATCAGCCTTAATTCTTCCTTGATCGTTTTGGTGACGGTTACTTAATTTCATTAATTAGTGCTTACTCAGTTTAAATTTAGTTTTCGTGTTAGCATATCTCACATTAAATTAGTAGGTGCGAAAAATTACAGTACTACTCTTATTAATTGCATCCTAATCATCCTGCTCAACACAAGCATTATTATTGACTGCAGAGTTTGTGGCGTCCAAACCACTTCAGCCATTTGGTCCTGAATATTGTTCGAATTGCGAGTTTATCGGTTCCCTGCATAGGATATTATGTCGGCTAAAATATTTATGTTTTCTGCATTAAGCGAAGTTTATTCCAGCATAAAAAATGTTAAAATTCAAACTTCGAAAATTCTGAAATTCCGTTTCTATATCATCCAATTAATGAAAGTAATGTGTAAACCCATATGCAAAACCCCCTGACATGTTTGCATTATATGATGGATGTTGCTCCTGATATTACGGTTCTTAGGCTATGTTCTGTTCTCGGTTGGGAACTAATCCCTATGCACGCAATACGAAGCTAGTATATAATTAATTAAGTAGTAAATATTTTTAAAATAGATTAATATAATTTTTAAAACAACTTTTCTATAGAAAAATTTCACAAACACCGCATAGTTTAGCAGCTTTGGGAAGCATTCACCTGCAAAATGATAGACTAGCGGATGGAAGAAGTGAGAAACTAAGCAACTTTAAATAAGTTACCAGGGGAGTGGAGGTACTACTTGTTTTATGTAGATTTAGAGTTTAATAGTATATATATAGCTAACTGGTAAACTAAAAAAATTGACACATCAACTAAAAAAATTGACACATCAAATATATATAAATATATATTTGTACATACCACTAATACTTGGCACATATCTCAAAGACACATTATCTGAAAACCCATGCTACAGCAGGTGACAAATTTGTAATCCGTTTTATCTTTTCTCTCCTCTTCTCTCTTTTTCACATTTGGTTGTAGCTAACTTACTCTTATAGTTATATGTACTTTCGACCTTATAAAGTGACATATCCAGTGCAGATAGCTGGGCAGATCACCAGAGCTTAATGAAATATGCAAAACAATGACTTAGATGGATTCACAAGTCACAACTACAACGTTGCTCGAATAATTTGATATAACCCCACCATCAATCACAGATTTTTTTTTATAGAAAGTAATTCAACGAACCATCTGTGACAAGATACCCCACTCCCTTGTGAGCTGTCTAGAAGAGCATCTGTGTTGGTAAGTTGGTAACCTACTTTGACATATATAAGCTCACATAAAACTTTACTAACAAAAGGTTTCATCGATATTAATATATAAGAGCATGACATATATATATATATATATATATATATATATATATATATATATATATATATATATGAGCTCATATGAAACTTTATTAATAAATTAAAGAAAGCACTCCCACAATTTATTCACTTGTATCACACGATCCATACAGGGCATACCCATATGGGAGCTTTACTATGGATAGACCTCAAAGATGCCTCGAATTCCTAGCTTCTTCACAATCTTGTAATCACTGAAGCCCGCTTTTTTGAAGAGATCACACCACTTGTTTTCATCTCGCTGTTGGCCTTTGCCGATCAGTATCATGCCCACATCCATAAGGAGCTCGGCTTCCAGCAATGGTCCGGAGGTAGAACTAATCACTACATCAATGATGATCACTTTACCTCCTGCCTCTCGTGATGGAATAGCTTTCTTGCAATGAGCTAGGATTTTCACGCAATCCTGGTCACTCCAATGGTGAAGTACAACCTACCACAAACGAAAGTGGCATAAAAGTTAACCAATCCATCAAATTACACTCGTTTTATATAGAGTTAATCTGCAAATCGATATGGCTAGGTACTAAAGTAGTCCTCGAGGTGATATCATATTTTAATGTAAATATTGGTACATATCAATGAGAGATCTCAAACTATACATTGAAAATTTTAGTATACCGCATGGGAGCCGGGGACGAGTCCATTGGAGTTAGTTGCATGTTATATGTTCAACACACGCGATTTTGAACGTGCGCACGAGCCCATAAACTCATGCACACTACTAAATAAATGTTTTTTTTTCTGTGCGGGACACTCTTTAGATTGTAGACGGACCGTAACTGGGCGCCTATGCAAAAATCGATCTCCACTTTTACATACGGCTCCTTAAGGGAATCACACACAAAAATCGATTTCCGTAGGCAGGCCTCTTAAGGGTTCACAATAAGCCTGTTTTTGCAAGCGGACCTCTTTAGGGGCTGCACGCGAAAATATATTTTTGCCAGCGGGCCTCTTAAGGATCCGCCTAAAGTCATTCTCTCCATCTCTCTCACTTCCACTCATCATGTCATCCTTAGCCTCTCCTCTCATCCCTCTCACCTCCTCACCTCTCTCACTCAAGCACTCGCAAGCACTGGTTGGGGCGGGTGGCGGCAGCATGGCGGCCAGGAGCGGCGGCGTATTCATATGGCAGCGCAGCCCCCAACTACGGAAGCGCTGGCGGCCGTCCCCGTTCTCCCCCTATGGCAGCGCCCCTTTCCCGCCCAGATCCCGCAGTGGAGGCCCACTATCCAGAGCCGGCATCGTTTCCCACATGCTCCCCTAGCGGCGGCGACCTTTCCCGTGCTCCCTCGTGCGGATCCGACGGTGGAGGGCAGTGGAGACACGGGGAGGGGTGACGGCGACGATGACGACGAGCTGCGATGACAGCGACAGAGACGATGACGACTTCGCTGTCGACGACCTAGCTAGGGCTCCGAGATTTTATTTTTCACATTTTTTTTTGCAAGCGGATAACGTAAGCACCCGCACGCGAAAATCCGATTATGCAAAAGAAAATAGCGATTTTCACATACCATTTAGGGCGGACGGGCCAACCTTCCGCACACGAAAATGTGTTTTGGGCCGTCTAAAAAACCATTTCTGTAGCAGTGCCATTTTTGTTACGGAGAGTGCTGGCTCTGGGCAGACCACACCACACGCCTCCATCTGGCTCGGTGGCCAGAGATCTCAACCCAAGAAGTACCATACAATTTCTCAAAACATATTGAAAATTTTCATTTGAATATTACCTTTAGCATCACAGCTTGTGCAGGTGGGATGAAGCTGAGCATGTCACCGGCCACATAGCTCACAACCCCATCAGTCGTTTTGTCGCCAATCACGCGAGGAAGGTCCAGCACAGTGCACTTGACGTGTGGGAAGGCCTCGACGATGGTCCTCGCCGTCGCGCCGTCGCCGCCGCCGCAGTCTGTCAGCGACTCCAGCCCCTGGAACACCTCACGACACTCCCGCAGAACGGCGGCGAATCCCGAGCCGTCGTGCGCCGCCAGACCTTCGTTGAGCAGCCCGTGTGTCTCCGGGTCCAAATCCGCCATGCTCTCGTCGAAGGGCGTCGCGCCATGCACGTCTTCGAACAGCAGCGACGGCGAATCCTTCTTGATCCAATCCGCGAGCCCCATGGCGGCCTCGACGCAGTGCCTCGACCCCATGGCGAGCACCGTGGGCACCTGGCTGGGGTGGCCGTCGACGATGGCGGCGCCGTCGTCGTCGCCGTCCACCAGGAGGCATGACAGCGGGGTGAGACGGTACGTTCCGGTATCGGTGGTGTCGTCGGCGGCGAAGACGCCGGAGTGGACCAGCAGCCGCATGAGGCGGCGGAGGAACGGTAGCTTGGACGGCGGGAGGGACAGAGCGGTAACCAGGTCGGGCAGCGACGCGGCGCCGCCGGCGCGGTGGATGGCGGTGGGGATGCCAAGCTTGATGACACATTGGAGACTCAGAGACGTGATGTAGCAGAGGCTGTGGCGCCATAGATCGGCCTGTGCTTGCAGCAGCTCCTCGTTGGTTGGTGCCAACATGGTAGGAGCTTGTGCTGCCATTGCAGCTATCTAGCTACCTCGGATTTCTTGAGCTGATCTGCCTGATAGTTACCATATGCGTGTTACTAGGCTTTAAATAGCGTGAACAAGTGGGCAATTCAAAGGGAATTGCCAGAAAGCTATCGCAATTTTTTCTATGAAAAAGTTTCAAATAATGTAACTATATATAGTTTAATTCTAATTATATAATTACATTGTAGTAGTATATAATTGTAGTGTATTGTAACCACTACAACAAAAATCCTCATAGGGACCGGACTTATAGGTGCCGATTTATTTAAAACCGTCACCTATTAACTTTTTCCCACCTCCCGCGAGATAAAAAACAGAGAACTGACACATTTAAACAACTATAGGTGTCAGTTCTAAATAAAAACCGGCACCAATAATATTGGCATCTAAGAATTGAGCCGATCCAGTAAGAGGATCAGCCGAGCCGGTGGGGCCCACCACAAGGAGATAAGGCCACCAATGGCACACCCTGCTGGATCCATCCAGATTCATCTCTGTCTCGCTCTCCTCTCTCTCGGAGCCGAGGCGGTAGGTGACAGCGCAAGAGGGGAGGCGGCGGCACAAGCGGGGAGGCGGCGGGTGAAGGGTGGCGTTGGCGGCGCCTCGAGCTTTGGGGCGACCAGATCTAGCCGCCACGACCTCCACCGGTGACGACCTTGGCCGCCATGACCTCCGCCACCCCACCTCCTGGTCTCCACCTCTCCCTCTTCTGTTACTCGGTCTCCGACCGCAGCGTCCAGTGACATGGCCAAATCCGGTGACATAAATAACGGTGGTCGTCAAATCCAGCTGCTCCAAGCTCAGGGGTGGCCAGATCTGCCTGCCGCGACCTCTAACGGGTGACGTCCTCGAGTACAGATGGGGGCTTCTCGGGTGCGATTTGTGGCGGACGGCGTGGGTGATGGTAGTGGTTCCCACTGAGTGGTGAGGAACAGGTTGATGTTGGGATTTCTTCTTGTGCATGTGTCTATGTCGATTGTGTAACAGATTGTGATTGTTGGTGAGTAACAGATTGTGTTACTTGTGAATGTTAATTGTATTTTGCTACTATTGGATTTTTTTTGTATGAACTTGATCTTTTCTCTGTATTAACACTCGGATGTTGATACTGTGATTGTGTTCGAGTTCGGCTCTCATTTTTTTTTCTCGAGCAAAGCTAAAGGTGCCGGTTCTATTTTCCGCACAAGTGCCAGTTGCTTGTATTGGTGCCAACCAATAGTATAGGTGCCAGTTGAAAAACCGGCACCTATGATGGTTTCTGTACTAGTGAACTACTACTACATTATACTATCTCCGTTTCAGTTTATAAGACTTTCTAGCATTGCCAACATTCATATAGATGTTAAGGAATCTAGGCACGCATGTATGTCTAGATTCATTAATATATATATGAATGTGGGCAATGCTAGAAAGTCTTATAATACGAAAACGGAGGAAGTACATTGTTACTTATAAAAATGTGTGTGTGTATATATATATATATATTGTGTGTGTGTATGTATATATATATACATATATGTATGTATATATATACATATACATATATACATATATATATATGTATATATACATATATACATATATATATATATACATATACATATATACATATATATATATATACATATACATATATACATATACATATATAACATATACATATATATACATATACATATATATACATATATATATATATATAACAAATTTACTATATATATATATAATGTATGTATGTATGTATAGGATAAGACTATTCTACACCCGGGTATAGAATACCTCCCCTTCTCATCCGATCCCCCCCTCTCGCTCCCCTCACCCTCCCAATCTCTCTCGCCCTCCTCTCGCTCCCCTCCCCCTCCCAATCTCTCTCGCTCCTGATCTCTCTCTTTTTTTTATTTCATTTTTTTTCTGTTTTTTTTCTCCCTGAAATATTTTTTCTCTTTTCTAGAAAAATAAAAAATAAATTGCCAAAATCAAGACTTGAACCCATGACCTCATAGTTCAAAGCACATTCTTCTAACCAATTCATCTAATGATACTATTTGTTTTAAGAATTTTATGAGAAAGTAATATTATTATCAATTCTAATATCTTTCACTATCGAAACTCATAATATGTTACTATGCTCTAATAGTAACATTATTGTAGAAGTATAGTAACATATGACGTTACTGTATAACACATAGAACGTTACTGCACTTCTGGTAGCAACGTCATAGTAAAATTGTAGTAGACCAGGAATCAAAACAAAAATATATGGGTTAAAGCCTCACATGCTAACCATATACTTTGTTACTGCACAAAAGTAGAAGTGTTACTACATAATAGGAGCATATTACCACTTCCAAGTAGCTATGTTACTGCATGATAATTATAGTTTTACCATGTCATTTTTACGAGATGAAGATCGAATAGGTGGGCTATAGGTAAAGTCTGTAGGTGGCTTTGAGTGAGGCCTGATTGATATAGGATGTTTTGAACAATTTTATACATTTGGTAAAACCATGTTACTACATGTATATTCCTTAGTTACTACAAGTTACACATTCTGTTACTGCATGTGGAGGGTTAAAAGTTCAAAATGCCAATCTTTGAAAAGCAATATCTCACAAGATATATATTATTTTTTAAAATCGTTCCCACCATGATACTATAGTGTTACTGCATGTGGAGGGTTAAACTTCAAAATGCATCTACGTACTCCCCTCTTCGAGAAACCGTTCTTCCTCCCTCTTCTTAAAAAAATCGGTCTCCTCCCTCCAATATAGTGTTACTGCATGTATATGACGTTACTGCACTTTTGACAGTAATATTGTGGTGAATTACAGTAAATCAGGAATTGAAACAAAAATATATAGGTTAAAAGTCTCAGATGCTAACCATATACTTGGTACTGCACAAAAATAAAAGTGTTACTGCACAGAAGGTACACGTTACCACGTGTTTATGCAGTAACATTACCCCAAAAATACAGTAAAACGCAGAGTAGTAACATCATGATGCGATTGTAGTAACGTACAACAAACAAGTAGTAACAAATAATAGTATAGTATTACTACTTGTGGAGAGACAAATTGCAAAAAAGTCAAGATTTGAAGAACAATATCTCCTAAGTGATGTAAGGTTTTTTAAAACCGTTTGCACCATGACGCTAGAAAAAAAGAGCTTATCAAAAGTAGATCCGTCATGACTATATTTCAACTATATTTTAACATTGTTACTGCACGTAAGACACAGTGTTACTGCATAGTGGTCGTTGTGTTACTGCACCGTGCTGGGACGAGAGCTGAGAAGACGTGGGTGGTGGGGGGAGTTAGTAGGCGGGTTTGACAGGTGGGAGGGGCCTTTGACCGAGGTGGGAGATGGGTTTTGGACCTTGGTAAGGAGGGGGAGGTGGGTGTGACCCTTGGGAGGGAAGGGGGGTATAGAATAGTTATTCTATACCCTGGGTGTAGAATAGTTATTCTATATATATATATATATATATATATATATATATATATATATATATATATATATATATATATATATATATATTAAATTTGTTTGGTGCTCCATGGTGCCCGGACACTATTGTTGAAATTGAGTATATACCCAATTCAAATGAGTATGAAACTTTATATATGTGTGTGTATGTTTTGTGCATTGAAGTACTCCTACGTTATAGTTAATTTTGAATTTTTTTTAAAGAAAACATGGTGACAATTTTTTAGATGGTCCTAAATTTAAAATTGTAGGTGCATTCAAGTATAACTGTACATAGCATCCTGTGATATGGGACTATCCCTACATCTTAATCTCGTAACATTATTTTCCAAGCCGGTGAAATATAGCTGTCAGCTTGTCACACGTGTGCCGCGTGGTAATAGAAAATTGCAGGGCATTTCGTAGTTAGATTCCATAATGATTTCTCGTCTTTGTATACGAGGGTGCACGTTTTGGCTATATATATCTAGCAGAGTACATAAATATTGAAACATATATACTGAAATCTTTGGGCTAGTTGACGCAGCAATGTTTCGCGGCCACGACGTCCTTGCGTGCTCCGCGAATCTTGGACACCTGGAATCTGTTTTGTCAGTTGAGGCATATTGCTAGCTATATCATCTGGGGAGTTATTAGTTATAGTTTCTTGTGATAAATTTTTCCATAGTTTACCTGTAAATTACTGCATGACTGTGGAAAGCTTAGTCGAATGAGTCATTTTAAGGATTATGGTCCTTAATTATAAACGTAATGGAAAGTCCCATAATTCATAATTTTGAGTATCAAATTTGTTACTTCTCCGTACCCGATGTAAAAATATTATACTGAAAACATTTGTAGCTCTTAACTATGGTAAAGTTTCTTAAAAAATTACAATCCAAATATATTTTGAAGTCAAGAAATTTTGTCGAAATTAATAACTTCGGATTGAAAGTTTAAATTTAAGTGACAGTACCCAATTAAGGTAATGCTTGAGGAGAGAAAGAAGTGGTGCGGCGGTGCTGGAAAGAGAAAGGAGAGGAGAGAAATAGCTGCTAGCGGGTTGGGAGATGACAACGGCACGACAGAGGAGATCGAGAGACCGGTTCAGTAGGTATTAACGCACACTTAGGGCTGCCTATGACCTGACTACCGGTTCATAGATAAAACAGCAGTGATAATCAGTGGCGGAGCTAGGAATTTTATGATGCCTGGGCAAGTATAAGAAATATAGTAAACCCGTTACCACTCATGTAATGTTGATATTCTTATTTTACTTATCAACTAAAGACAACAATTTTTTAATAAAACCATAATTCAATATAGATGTAAATTTTCACTAGTATAAACAGGATGATTTTGTTATAAAAAGTGATGATTTTTATACCTATACTCCAGTACTTTAGTGAATGAATTGTGCCATCCATTGTGAAGCAAGCAAGTTGGTAATTAACGAGTGGCTACGGCCTAATTGCATGTTACAGTGCGGCAAATGCTACCTGCTTGTATCAAATCATCTACTACGTACGCATAGCCTGCCAACTTTGTCAAGGAGCTAGCTAATCATTCGGTTTTCACATAGAGAAATCATCCTCGATGCCTGCCACACGCCGCATGAAAAGCCCG